TGTCTCCTCTCTTCCTCCAGACTCTGGGACCTTGATTTCCAAAGGAAATGCAAAATTTACTGTAATCAGAGAACATAACTTTGGACCACTCAGCAGCAGTCCCAGGTGAGATGCTTCTGACGCAGTCTCTTGTTCAAAAGTGGCTTGACCTGGGGAAAGTGGCACCTGTAGCCCATTTCCTGCACACGCCTGTGCACGGTGGCTCTGGATGTTTCTACTCCAGACTCAGTCCACTGCTTCTTATTAACGCCACCAGCTGTTAAGGCTCATGGCATCAATTTGAACCTCGCCCACTGTAACATGTACCGAACGGAGTCGAGTTGAACCATGCTGTACCGGTACTAAGAGGTACTATGGAAAAGGGGCTTTATTAGACTACAAGCATGTCTTAAAGACATAAAAACCTGGATGACCCTTAATTTTCTCCTGTTGAACACAGACAAGACTGAGGTTTTGGTTTTTGGACCTGAGCACCTTAGGAATGAATTTTTCAGTCTTTCTCCCTCCTTAGATGCATTAATCTGTCCTCCAGCTCTAATGTTAAAAATCTTGGTGTTATTTTTGATCAGGACACGTCTTTTATCCCCCACATTAAAAACGTTACTAGAACCACCTTCTTCCACCTGCGTAATATCACTAACATTAGAAACATCTGATCTAAAAATGATGCAGAAAAACTGGTCCATGCATTTGTCACGTCTAGACTGGACTATTGCAATGGTTTATTATCTGGGTGTCCAAATACTTCTTTAAAACGTCTTCAGTTGATCCAAAATGCTGCTGCCAGAGTCTTAACTGGAGTTACTGGGAGAGATCATATTTCTCCAGTTTTAGTTTCTCTCCATTGGCTCCCTGTCAAATCCAGAATAGAATTCAAAATCTTACTTCAACCTACAAAGCTCTCAACAACCTAGCTCCATCTTATATTACAGATCTTATTGTTCCATATTTTCCTAACAGAGCATTTCACTCTCAGACTGCAGGTTTACTTGTGGTTCCTAGAGTTTCCAAAAGCAGAATGGGAGGAAGATGTTTCAGTTATCAGGCTCCTCTCTTCAATTCAATTAAATAAAAAAATGCTTTATTAATCCCAAATGGAAATTAAGTGTTGTCATAGCTCATCATCTCTTGTGGAACCAACTTCCAGTTTCTGTTCATGAGGCTGACACATTATCCAGTTTTAAGACTAGACTTAAGACTTTCCTTTTTGATAAATCTTATAGTTAGGGTCGACTTGGGTTTCCTGAGCTGTCCCTTAGTTATGCTGCTATAGGCTTAGACTGCTGGAGGACAAACTGACAACACTTTTCACTCTGCTACAGTCTTTACTTACTCTGCTCAACCTGTTTTGTATTTGTAATTATTTTTTCTATCCTCAACATGTGTTTTTTTGTATTTCTGGTACACCTGGACCTATACCTGGACCTAACATTCTGTGTTCGTCTGTCTCTCCTTCCTGTCCTCTCAACCAGCCGGTCAAAGCAGATGGTCTCTTGTCCTGAGACTGGTTCTGCTGGAGGTTTCTTCCTGTTAAAAGGGAGTTTTTCTTTCCACTGTCTCCACTGTGCTTGCTCAGGATGGGAGACTGCAACGAAGCCAAGATTCAACTTGTCTGCTGGATTCCTCAGATAGAGAACTTTACTAATTGGCTTTTCTGTGAATGTTCCTGTAAAGTGCCCTGAGACAACTTTGTTGTGAATTTGCGCTGAGCAAGGCCCTTAACCCCCACCATTTGCTCCCTAAACAGGTCTCTCTTGAAAATGAGTTCTCGTGGCTCAATGAGACTACCCGGATAAATAAAGGGTAAATGAAAAAAAAAAATGCTAGATTGTCTAAACTTTAGCTTGCTAACTTGAGAGGCTCCGTAGCTCATGACGAGCAGGTTGGATGATTGAAGACAATTTATTGTTATTGTTTGTTTTGTTTATTTTACAGCTCAGTTACCATAAACTTGCCATGTCTGTTCAGCAAAATATGTTACACAGTATTTAGTTGCTCCCTTCTTCTCAATTGTGCAGCACGGCCTTGACTTGAAAGTAGTCTTACTGCTCCCTCTGCTGGAAACCTTGTACTATTACAGCTGGTTCCAGCATTGTAGGGGTGAAAATTAGAAGCGCATATATCTGTGCATAATGGGAAAATTATCACATATACTGACTGATAGGTCCTCAAAAGCCTATATCCACCTAAAATATCTGCCCTCTTGAAATATCGGTCAGGCTCATGTGTATATATATTTACATATATACATATATATATATATATATATATAT